GAGTAAGAGAGTGAGTAAGGTGAACATAGTGAGGGAAAGATAGACAAGTAGACAGAGAGAAAGAAAAGAGTGATGAGTGAGAGAGAGACAATGAAAGAGAGAGATAGACAGAAAAAGAGATAGAGAGAGAAAGAGAGAGAGAGAGATAGAGGAAGAGATAGAAAAAGAGAGAGAAATAAGAGAAGAGCGAGAGATAGACAAAAAAAAGAGAAATAGAGCGAAAAGAGATGAGCGAGAGAGAGACACAGAAAAAGAGAGAGACAGAGAGAGAAGAGAAATAGGCGAGAGAGATAGAAAGATAAGAGAGAGAGAAAAGAAATAAGAGAGATAGAGAGAAGAGAGATGAACGAGAGAGAAAACAGATGAGAGAGATAGAGAGAAGAGAGATAGGCGAGAGACAGAGAGAATGAGAGAGAGAAACAAACAGACAAAGAAAGAAGAGTGATGAGTGAAAGAGATAAAGTGAAGAAAGAGAGATAGAGACAGAGAGACAGGAAGATGAAAGAGAAATGTTATATCAAAAGAGTAAGACGACATTGTTTTTTTATTTTTTTTTTGCGACAGAAAAATACCGTTGAATTTATTCAAACCATTTTGTGACTGTATATATATGAAGCTATCTCAAAACCACAATCACCAAAATCTTTTAAAAATTCACTAAATACCAAAAATACAAAAAAAAAATTCCATAATTCAGTACATTTTTTTTTGTATTTTTATGTATTTATTAATTTTTAAAAATATTTTTTCTCACTATGCTAGGTTAGAGTTTTCCAAAAACTCTTTTGAGAAAATTATACTTTCTTGTTTCCGTGTTATATTGTTTTTACTGAATTTTTAAAATATTTTAAGTATTTTTTGTAATTTTTAGACACACCTAACATAAATACACCTAAAAATTAAAAGAACTGTAAAAAAAATCTTTTAAAAATTTACTAAATACGAAAAATACAATAATTCAATACATTTTTTTTTTTGTATTTTTATGTATTTATTAATTTTAAAAAAAATCATAATTTTTTTTTTTAGATACTTCTAAGTAAGGTGCATCTAAAAAAAATATTTAAAATTTTAAAAATATTCACTAAAAAAAAACACAAAAGTCACTTTTTGCGACAACAGAAAATGCCGTCTCAAAAAAACAGAGTATTTGCGACGACACAATTTGCCTTCTCAAAAAATGAGAGTATTTGCAACGGCAGAAAATACCCTTATCTAAATTAATGGCCTCGAGCTCAGCCCAAAACGCATCATCAAAAGATTAATCTCTGACATTCCTACAACACCAGAATAAGCGTGAGATTTTACACAAAAGGACTAACGTTGCAGGTAAATAAATAAATAAATAAATAAAGTTGAGGTAGGTGGTATAATACCTGTACTAGTATAGGCCCGCAGAAGGATATGTGCTCGAGAGACGTACCTCTCGGGTATGAAGGGTCGAACCTTCGGAGGTAGAGCCATAATATCGGGATCATCCCTGGCGCCCGGAGGACCTCCACCGTGAGGAAAATGATCGGCCATTTCAGAAAATCTGCAAAAAGGAGCAAAAATGAGCAAAATAGGCCAAAATTGGAAAAAGTCAACAAAAGTCAACTCTCGGGAAATGAAAAAGTCAACAAAAGTCAACCCCCGAGGAAATCTTCCAAATGTTGAGACAAACTTACCTCAAGTGGTGAAAATAAGAAAAGAAGCACCGAAATTAAAATTTAATCGGTCCAAAGTGATGAAAACTGAAAGATTTCGCAAAAACAACTTGCGTGGGACGTTGGAAAACGCGTATAGAGCTCAGATCTGAAGAGGAAAATGGTCTAGGAAGGTAGAGAAGGTGTTTTCGGAGCTGAAGTTGTGAGGAATGAGGCTTTGGCCGAGTGTATTTAAAGAAATGAGAGCAAAATGACCGAACTGCCCCGGATTTGGGTTAGGGGGTCGGCCTCACCTTTTGTGGCAGGCCGACCACCCCCTTTGCAAAATGCTGGTCGGTGGCCTCTCCCTGGGACAAGACCTGGTCGGTGGTGTTCCCCAAGTGCCCCCACCAAGCTCTCTGCAAATTTTGGGAAGGATTGGAGTCCCCAGGACCTGAAAAAGTACAAGAGAAGTGCACTTTCCGTCGCGAAATCGCTCTACCGGAACTTCAACTCCAACTTTTAATGCGTTTTTCATCGTTACTCGTCAAAAGTGAGATGTATCCTTTTCGAACATGTTGCGACCCCTCCGGGAGGTAAACCGGAGGTCGCAATTGAGTCACCCTCATCGAAAACTCGCATTTCTTTGCTCGTCGTTTTACGACAAATTCGCATTCGAATTCACATTTATTCTGCATTGTTATGCACGTCACTTGCATTCTCATGCACACCACTCATACTATTGTGCACGTTTCACAGGTGTTGTCAAATCCTCGTGCTTAACCCGCGTTGTCACGCGCGTTACTCCTCGCATTGCGATGCACTTTTCTATCGACGCCGCGATTGTCTGCATTCAATATCGCTTTGAACATGTGTTGCTAATTATGTTGTGCTTGTCGAGTTTCTTTCTTTTGCAGGCACGATATTGTATGTACGGTTCATTTGAGGATGGTGTGACCAGACGAACCGCACAGGTATTGTATCTTCTCCGTGTGAGACGCATTTGAGGCTGGTGCGACCAGACGAACCACGCAGGTATTGTATCTTCTCCGTGTGAGACGTGGCAAGAATTGAATAATTCTCCGCATTCTTAACTGCATGAAATGTAGTGGTTGCTTTGCATTCTTGCTTAAAACTGTTGCATCTATTGTGAATATGTGCTTCATTACAGCTTGCTGCATTTGCATGATCATTGAGATACCGTTGGCTTCTTACATTGTTGGTTGCATTTTGCCCCTGCCTGCGGGCATGCCTACGAGCACATCTCTGTTTGTCTTGCCTGTTTGTCTAAGTCTTCGGCCTTGTCAAAAATGGGTCGTCTCTAGGCTTTGACATTCACTCCCGTCACTTATGACTTCCGAGTTCTGTCAAAGAGGGGCAACTGTAGACACCCCATTTTTGACCGACCTTGAGACTCAGACGTCACCAGTTGAGCGCTCGGTGATATTGGATATTGTGCTTGTTCAGAAGTTTCAGAGTCTCGGCTGCGAGCCTTGCCTTCGGACTTCTGGACCCTCTCTGGACTTCCGGACTCTTTCATACCTTGCCTCGGTTTACGAATCAGGCTCTGTTTTCTCTATTTTCTCTTCCCAAAAGGGAGAGAGAGGTATCGTAGATCATCTCTCAGTGGCCGCAGGCTATGTTTCGTGGTCGTTGGCCATTTTTCCCATTTGGAGCCTGGTTTTCGATTTTTCGGAGCTGACAGCCGTGTGCCTCGGTTCGGGACCACCTAACCACCTCCGTTTGCTCCGGTTTTTGGTATACACCTTATTTCCTCCCTTTTGAGGAACACTTCGGAGCTGTTGGCCGTGTGCTTCGGTTCGGAACCGTTTAACCACCTCCGTTTGCTCCAATTTCTGGCATGCATCTTATTTACTCCCTTTTGAGGGACACTGTGGTCCGAGAGACCAACTTTGTGGTTGGACACAACTTCCGGTGCCTAACAGCCCACTTTTGGGGCCCCGAACTGCGTGTTTTGGCTCCCGAACCTTCATTCTACATTTTTGAGCTCCGACCCGAACTTAAGATAGTCATATTTTGAGGTCCTTTTCATGTTTGATTAAGGACCTTTTGCTGTTTGAGATCTCCTCCTATCACTTGCTTCTTTAACGCTCTTTTAGGCCTATTTTTGCACGGTATTTTAGGCTTACTTGTGAGCTGTTTCGGACTTGGTCATTAACTACAAAGTGCCTTGTTTTGAGCCCCTCTTCAACTTTGTCGAAGGGCTCTCGACCATTTGGGTCCAGCAGCTACCACTTGCCTTTATATCCCACTTTTTGGCCTTTTTTTGGGGGGAAACTTGAAGAACCCCTCTAAAAAATGGTCTTTTCTCTCTCCTAGTTCACTTTTTTCGGGTTTCAACCACATAGTTGTGTTGTGCACACATGGGAGGCCACCTTTTTGAGGTAGCCGACCAGCAATTGTCGTTGACCCTTTTGACCATTGGTCGGCCAGCCATGGGAGATGGCCGGCCGGCCCCCTGAACCTTCTGAACCTGGCCAGCCATGACCCTCTCACCTGGTTCCTTACAGCTGCACCCTCTGTTTCCCCCCAGATCCTGTATCCGATGGGAGGTCTTTTGGAGGGAAATTTGAATTTGATTTTCCCCCCTTTTTCCTCCACTCCTTTCTCTATAAAACCAGCCCCTCAGCTACATTTGAAAGGGTTACAAAAATTGGTTTGGAGCTCTTGCATTAAATCTCCCTCTCTCTCTATTCCAATCCTCAAAACACCCTTAGTCCTACACCATTTACCCTACACCTCATAGCACAAGGCCTCCATCCCCCATTCCAGCAACTTGAGGTTGCTTTCCAGAGGTGAAGAGCTCCTAAAATTGGTCCAAGAGCTGCTGGTCCATTGGTCTACAAGGGTGAGTCCCATTTTCCCTCTTTCTTGCCTTGTTTTGCTTTCTATCTAAGCCATACTTGCAAGCTTTTTTGGGCTCCGACCTAAACTGTAAATAGTCATATTTTGAGCCCCTTTTCATGTTTGATCAAGGACCTCCTACTGTTTGAGGTCCCCTACTCCTCACCCTTTGTGTTTAAACTCTCTTTTAGGCCAATTTTTGCATAGTATTTTAGACCTATTTGTGAGTTGTTTTGGACTTTATCATAAACTGTAAAATAACTTCTTTTGAGCCCCTCTTCAACATTGTTGAAGGGCTCTCCTCTGTTTGAGGTCTCCTGCTATCACTTGCCTATTTATCTTCCTTATTCATTCTATTCTTAAATATTTCTAGTTTATCCCCTTTTAGGTCCCACCATCTCGTCCTACGACGCTCACCATCCTTTCTAGCTTGGTTATGCTTTTCTCTTTCTAAAAATCTGAATTATTTTATTTTTTTGACTTGGGGTATAGTTTAGCCTATTGTTCTATGCATTGTTAGCCTTAGCGGAGGATTGTAGTGTTTATATGCTGAGCTGAATAGTACTTTTTTGGGCTTCTAGTTGGCTGTTCAGTAAAAGTGCACCTGGGCTCTTGCTAAGTTGCTACCCATAAAAATTATTATTTACTCCATTGCCAAAGCTTGTGAGCTTTATGAGTCAATCAAACTGTTTCCTAGACTTGGCTCCTATACATATTGAGCCTAAAATATTGTTGGAACTTGGCTCATTTTCCTTGCAAGTCGGAGCTAGATGAGCCAAAACCAAGTCAAGATCAAGTCGAACTTGACTAACTCTGCTTGTTTTGCACACCTAGCTGAGGTGTTGTTCCCTCATTTTTGACATTTTACAAGCAAGTCATAAATAGACTGTACTTGTGCCAAATGGAACTGTCACTACTCTCCCTGTTTTTGTTTGATATAATTGAGTGTGATATTTTGCTTCCAGATCCAATATTTTCATTTTCACCATTGGCTATTCACACGCGAAATTTGTTAGCTGACCCAAGATGCACACTTGTAGTGCAGGTTAGTGCTTTTATTTTTACATTCAATATTTGTTTAGTAGTTCTCCATTTATGGATTGTATTGACATTTACGCTTCTTCATAGATACCCGGATGGAGTGGCCTATCAAATGCAAGGGTAACAATATTCGGTGATGTCTTCCCTCTTCCAGAACATCAGCAGGTGTCTGCCTGACTTGATAAATTTATGTGGAATTATGGTTTGTTCTTGATAGTAATTACGCATCCTTGTTTTCGTTTTCTGGCCATGCATGATGGCGGGAAACATTTTTTGAAAATGAAAGGAACAAAAAACTGGGGGACCGCCTTATGAATTAACCTTTATGATCATGTTAGTAATTTCTTGAAGCTTTGTTTCTGTGTTTTTTTTATTTTTTGTCCACCTAGAATAACATGAAGAATTAATGCTTGAGTAGCTTCAATTTTCAAATTTGATGATTTGGAATATCTTTTGTTCACAAGACCAATTGAATCATTGGACCATTCTTTGGCGCCACATAAAATCATTGCATGTGGGAAGACAAGAAATTTAAGAATAGATATTCATGTTTTCCAATTGTCTACATTTACTATTATGCATTAGTGATGATAAATATTTTTTATGATTGATTTGATTATTTCTGATTGTGTATTGCCAGGAATGGGCTCATAAGCAGTACATAGCCAAACATCAACAAGGGCCTTCTCAACAATGGGGGAACTTCTACTACTTTAGGATGCAGAATATAAGGTGTGTTTTCTAAACCTGGAGTGTGATCAAGCTACACCTATCATTTTAAAATTCATTTTTAATGCTCTTATATATCAGGTTACTCCTACCATTTTTTTAATAAATAATTTCCACTTCGTTGATGTGTATCTATGGTGATAGAATCAGTAACTAGCAAATTGTTAGCACGGAGTTTATGTATTTTTTTTTTGTTTCCTATTTGGTGCCATCAGTGACATATATTTCATTGGAGGCTTTGGCACTGTTGCTTGGGTTGATGTCAAGGAATACGAGGCTCTTCAACCTGATAAAATCGCGGTGGATGGTGGTGAGCAGAATTTGAAGGTGGGCTTCTTGAATTATGATTACATATAATTCTAGAGTGCAATCATCTTAAAATTGGTGTTTTGTGTGGCATATACATTTGAAGATTGCAAATATTTGGAAGAAGTAATGCATTCATGCATGAGCAATGTCCATTCACATTGTCACTTGGGTTTTTGAATTTTCCCAATTTGTAGGAGCTCAATGCTATCTTTTCAAAGCCCCTGAAAGGGCTTTTGTCCGCTGAAATTGAAGTAGACGACGCTGCTCTTATATCAATAGACAGCAAGGGAACTGATATTCGTGTTCGGCAAGGCGCACAAGTATTATTCCTATCTTGAAGAAGTTCAATAAATATTTGCATTTTTTAAAAAAACTGTTTCTTTGCTTATGTTTTCATATTTCTCTTTATATTTTTATATGTAGTTCAACATACAGAGGTTATCATTTGAAGAGGGGAATGCAGTAGAAACTCTAGAGGAAGCCAAGGCGGCACTTTGGAAACTAATACACAAAGGTCGAGTTTAAAATTTGTTGAAATAGGGATTGCATTGCTCACTAACTCTTTTTTGTGTGCTTATTTTTGAGAGGCATAAATTGAGTTTGTATCTTTTTTCTTCTCTCACTAATTTCCCCTTTGCAGACTTGTTAAGTTCGTATTAGTATAAGCATTGATTAATGAGATCTATAATTTGTCTGAAATCATTGATCGTGCCATTTGCCATAATACTTTTTTTCTGGTTCTTGATGTTACTTTGTTGCATGAAATTTCTCTATGATTGTTGACTCTCGGTTTTGCAAGTGCTTTCTTGAAAATTTTTACTCTTTTCATTTCTGTGTAATAGACTTGTGGTTTGTTGCTGGTGTGCTTGTGTTGTTGGGCATGCGATTTGGCCCAAGTGATCCCCAACCTCCTCCATTCAGGGCCACAAAATGTTAGCGATCCGTGACACGTGTATGTGTATGGAACCAAGGACATATTTCATGTTTGGATATTGAAAGAGGCATGTCGTATTTGGATCCAACACGTTTACTCGTGGTTTTACCCACTAATCTAAACGTAAACATTTTTATTCTCTTCCTCTTTTCCTTTTTAGGTAATTGTCCAAGTTGTTGAATTTGCCATTTGTGAAGTTGGGGTTGGGGTTGGGGTGGCGCGGTTTGGATTGTTTGATTGTAGTTTAGAAGTCAATTTATTAGTTAAAGAAGTTTGAAAGTTCGGTTGACAAATTTATTTTGTTAAAAAGTTTAGGGATGGTTTGGGATAATCTAAATAAGTGTATTTTTTGACTTTTTATGAAATATGGGTTGGGTTTGAAGTGATGTGGTAGAAAAGTAATGTGATTTAAATAAGATGATGTGACTTATATAGGATAGTGATTTTTTAATTTTTTGTCTTTTTTAAGGTATTCCAAACAAGGTCTTAGTATAGTCACTTTTAAAAGTTAAAAAGAAAAAAAGAAAAGGAATGTGTCAAATAAATTAGTGTTTTTAACATTATTTTTTTGTAAATTTATTTTTAGTTAATAAATTAATATTTTAATTAACTTTCGAATAAAATTGTGGTTTTTTTTTTTTTTTTTTTTTTTTTTTTTGGGATTAAAAAAATTATGTTTATGACACAAATCCCTAATTTTTTTAACACTTTCAAAAGCCCTAGTGTAGACTGACTTTTGTGTCAAAGTAAACCCTATTTTTGACCTTGTTTATATATATATATATATATATGCATAATATTTATGATGTTTTTAAAAGTTTTTAATGTTTGTGAATCACTTGATTTTGATGGTGTTTTAGATCCATAAAAAAATTTAAAAAGAAAAAGAA